TTTAGGGGTTAATTTTAGCTTTAGCGTTTACAGCGTGCTTTTTTTGTCGTGCTGTGATGACGTCAGCTACGCGGTTTCGTCGAGCGCGCTTTAGTTGAATGCGGTTTTGTGGTGGAACCCATATTTAATTGGTTGTCCAATTGGGTCCCCAGCCTGAGGCTGGACTAGAAGACCCCCCAAGTCCCTTCCAACTCTGTTATTCCATAGAACTATATTCTAGAATGATAGAATTCTCACAATAGTTTGCAAAACCCAAAGGAAATGGCCTTTTCAGGAAACAGGTATAGTTTGAATAACCCAAAGCATACCTGCTCTGTAGGATGCGCTGGGCGGATGGTTAGACTCCTAAGGAAGAAAAGGAGGAAAAAAAAAGAAACAGAATAAGAGAATTGGGGGGGGAGGGGGAATCCAAAGATGTCAACCCTCCCATTGGCATATTCAGCAAAAGAAACTCCCGGGACATGATTTTTACCAAGAAAACACAGATAGTTCTCAACTTGCAACCACAACTGAAACCAACATGTAAGTTGTTAAGTGAGAAATATATTAAAGTGAGTTTTGCAATTAGCCAGTGGAACGGCTTGCCACCAGAAATTGCAGGTGCTCCCACAACGGAGGTGTCAGGATTCCGACGGATGCCCTAATTAACTCATGAGCCTTGAGCCAAGTTTCAAAAGAAATCCAGTTATTTATTAGGAGCAACATGTCGGCACCTACCCGAGTGAAGTCAGCTCTGCCCCACATAATTTATGGCTCAATTATGACCCTGTTTCCCCCCCCCCTCCTCCCAGGGTGTGTCATAAATCATATTCTGCAATGGAGCATTTCCCCGGGGTTGTAGAAAACATGCCTTTCCGGCTGGCTCTGGTAACCTGGGATACAGCCTTGGGAAAGGTAGGCATGGAATGTGCTTCTGGTTGTGGCTGCTGAGCTGCTCTGTCAGTTCCCCCCCTCCCCTGCCTATGGCAACTCGAGAGCAGGCCAGGGATGCTGTATGAGTTGACAGGAGGCTTTTAAGAAGAGACTGGACAGACAGTTGTCTGGAATGGTTTAGGGTCTCTTGCTCGGGCAGGGGGTTAGACCTCCAAGGACCCTTCCAACTCTGTTACTCCGTTAATGGGGAAAGCCACATTCACTCAATGACCAAGTGTTTCACTCAACAGCTGCGGGGATTTGGCTAACAAACGATGACAAAAAAGGTCGTAAAATCAGGCACATTTCCCTTTAACAGCCATCTTGATTGGCAAGAGGAATTCTGTTCCCAATGGTGGTCATAAGTTGAAGATTACCTGGTTTGGGTAGGCTACAATAGAATGGAATGGAATAGGATAGGATAGGATAGGATAGGATAGGATAGGATAGGATAGGATTCAGAACAGAATAAGGAATAGAATGGAATGGAATAAGGAATAGAATAGAATAGGGAATAGAATAGAATAAGGAATAGAATGGAATGGAATAAGGAATAGAATAGAATAGGATAAGGAATAGAATAGAATAAGGAATAGAATGGAATGGAATAAGGAATAGAATAGAATAAGGAATAGAATAGAATAAGGAATAGAATAAGGAATAGAATAGAATAAGGAATGGAATAGAATAGAATAGAAGTAAAAGGAATGGGAATAGAATAGAATAAGGAATAGAATAGAATAAGGAATAGATTGAATAAAATGACTAGAATAGAATAAAATAAGGAATAGAATAGAAAAGAAGGGGTGAATAGAATAGAATAGAATAGATAAGAGGGGGTGAATAGAATAGAATAGAAGTAAAAGGAATGGGAATAGAATAGGATTCAGAATAGAATAAGGAATAGAATGGAATAGAATAGAATAAGAAATAGAATAGAATAAGGAATAGAATAGAATAAAATAAGGAATAGAATAGAATAGAAAAGAGGGGGTGAATAGAATAGAATAGATAAGAGGGTGTGAATAGAATAGAATAGAAGTAAAAAGAATGGGAATAGAATTCAGAATAGAATAAGGAATGGAATGGAATGGAATAGAATTAATAGGAATGGGAATAGAATAGGATTCAGAATAGGATAGCATTCTTTACTGGCCAAATGTGATTGGACACACAAGGGATTTGTCTTTGGTGCAGATGCTCTTAGTGTACATAAGGAGAATAAAAATACATTCATCTAGAATAAAAAGATACAACACTTAGTGATAGTCATAGGTTACCAATAAGCAATCAAATCATACTAGGAAACAAATCAAAACAATATAAATTGGAAGATATCATGATGGTCCCAAAAGCCCCCCACCCCCTTTCTCCTCCAATTATGCTGAGCTGGACAAGACCACCATTTAAACGTTTCATCGGGGATAGAAAACAACACGCCAGGTTTAATGTTGGCTTGTCTGGGGGGGAAACTCGGCCAGTTCTCCAGCGTTTCTAAGGTTAATCTCCCATCTCCTTCTTACCTCTCTTCTAAGGCCTCTTCGACGGACTGAAGCAGGCTCCTAGGGAAGGTGAAAACACGGCACAAGGTTATCTATCCGTTGCTCAGTCTTTCTATCCCACCCACGTCACCATTTGCTCCATCGGGGTTTTTCCCAAAGGTGCTTTTTCAAAAGGCAACTCGACTTTACGTTTCTCCTTGAAGACATTCGCTTCAATAAGAGCCCGCCGTGCCCTGCAGTGGCCCAAAAATGCCAACACAATTCTAGGCTGCGTTAACATAGAATCAAGGCCCTGTGAAGTGTTAATATCACTCCTGATGGGCCACCGCACCTCTCCCAACCCGATCACGTCTTTGCCCTTCCAAAATTCCTTACTCTCCATCTCCAAGAACCATCCAATTCTCTTCCTCTTCTTCGGTCTGCTAAAAGAGACAAAAAACGGTTCATATTAAGCGGGCCAGAATAAAACAGATCCGGTTTTATTTTTCGCCCTCACAGGATGAGCTGCTTCACTTCCCAATTCTGTCCCCGCCCAGGAAAACAGGACTGGTGGGAATGTAGAGGCAGTCCTCAACTTATGACCCCAAAACTTCTTTAGTTAAGAGAACCAGCGGTTAAGTGAGTGTTGCCCATCTGTCTTAGCAATAGCAGTTAGACTTATATACCGCTTCATAGGGCTTTCAGCCCTCTCTAAGCGGTTTACAGCATATCACCCCCAACAACAATCCGGGTCCTCATTTTACCCACCTCGGAAGGATGGAAGGCTGAGTCAACCCTGAGCCGGTGAGATTTGAACAGCCGAACTGCAGTCAGTTGAAGTAGCCTGCAGTGCTGCATTTAACCACTGCGCCACCTCGGCTCTCTACTATATTGGCAATTACAATTATCATTCCAATGGAAATGAACTTTTTTCTAATAGTGTTTGTCATTGACTTTCTGATGGCTTTTGTGAAACACCTCTGAAATGTAAACTCAAATTCTTCTTGTAATATAACTGTATAGTTGACCCCTGTCCAATGGCATTGCTATGTTTTTGACATTCACTTCTGGTGTGAACCTTCCAGGTTCTGGTGCTCTGATATCAGTGGTGGGTTTCAAAAAAATTTCGAACCTACT